AGTTTTTTCCATACTTAACAGCTTCAATGAAAATTTTAGAAAAGAAAATAATTATTTTCATATTCATGAAAATCAGGCCAAAAATCTTTATACATGTATTGAATAGAGGATGTCTATATTGTGTTATTTGATATTGGCTTTATCCAACGAGTTGAAATGGTGTATATATTCGCGAGGATTGCCGAGCAAATATACATCATTTCAACGAGTTGGATAAAGCCAATATCATATCACACAATTAAAGAAGTTCTGTTTATCTCATACAAATTTCGTTTTAACCAAACTTTGAGACTTCCCCTGCGAAACTACATGAATGATTGCTAATTCAAACTGATGACGTATAATTTGATGACTAGCACCATTGATGTTGAAATGCCTTGAAAGAAAGTAGATCGTTTTCAAAATTTAGATGGTGTGTCGAGGATTGTGTGCTAATTTTGTGATGTCTATTATGAAATAATGTGCATTCCTTTTCATAATTATTCGTTAATTGTTAATGCTTATTTTTACTTGTTGGTGTTTGATTTTTCTCTCAAATATAATCTTTTTTGATAAAAAAAATACAATTTTTGATAATTATTCACAATGAAATCTGAAAGAAACCCCAAACAGTCATTTAATTATGAAATCGAGTGTAAGTGTAAAAAGGTCAAGAGAAGTCCTATCTCTCTTTAGTTTGGGGCGAAAGGTATATATTTTAATTACTTTTTGTAATCATTTGGGTATTTTCTTTAGTATATTAAAGATTGAAAACATCATGACAAAGACTTCTGAAACATATTTACAAATTGAGGGTGGAAAATTGTCTTAAAATACAGTTCATTTTCCTATATTTTTCTAAATATGGACATATCTTTTATTTCAATCTAATAAAAAAAAGAATTTATTCTTGAATAATAATGCTTAATACTGTTCAGTTAATAATGTCTATAATCGACGATGTTTAAAGAAGTGTTTTTGTGAATTATTTTATTCTCTTCATGACAAATACCCCTAAAAATGACTGACAATATGTAGTGACATTATGTAATTACTGTTCCAAGTTTCATAGGCTATACTACATTAACAGATTGATAAGCGAGTGCTAATTTATCATTTTAAAAAGTTTGAAAATCTTGTGACAAAGACTTTTCCGATGTAAGTTCTACCTTAAATGGTCTGCCCTCGAAGCCAAAAGATCTTATTCAGCCCTAGTAGGGCTCTCACTTGCAAGTTCATGGGTGATCACAGCACCAAATCTCTATCAGGAAAGGAGGAAATGTGGGGCCGAACTGGGAATCGAGCTCAAGACCCCTGAATCACTAATCAGGTGCTCTAGCGACTGAGTTATCCACAACGATTACCACGGCCCAAACCATTACATAATAATACGTCCACGACATATCTAAATGTCGTTTTGAAGATAACATGTTTCTTCTCCATTTGTATATATATTTTAAAACAAATCTGCTTTATATGAAGACACCACTACTTGCCACTACTTACGGGCGATGATTTACAGTTGAAGAATGAAACCCCAGTTCCTCTAAAATTCAATTAAAATGAAAAGCTGGGGCCAGTACATACTTCTGTGCATGTAATCTTTCTTTTTCTTTTTACTTCAGAATAGAGAAAGATAGATTTTTTTTCTTATTGACCCTCAATCGATTTGGGGCATCAATCCTATAATTATGCCTGTGATAATTGTATATGGTCCTTAAAGAGATGAAGATAGAAATGTTAAAACCTTCATTTCAATCTTACACTCAGTTAAATTGTCAGGTTGCCGTCACAGTAGAGTGTTGCAGGTTTTTCCTTACGAAAGTTTATTTTTTTGTTTAAACATTCTCCTTAATATGAATACACAAACAGTTTATTATAATGTGACATCATTTCTACCATTCATTGACAATTCAATGATAATTGTAATATCAGTTTTAGAAAACTTTTATGTTAAACCAAATTTATTTTTACTGTAGTGAATCTGCAATTGCAAAAAAGCAATATTTGGAATATATTTTCGAGTTATCTCCCGTTAACTAAGTATCAAATTAGATGCAATCAAATTATTTATTGTTAATAATTTTAAATATTGCAAGCCTTATGGTTTTGATGACTTTGAAATTATATCTGACCATATTTCCAGTAAAATAGATTGTATTATCTGAATCGATCATGAAAAGGAAACGATATGCAAAAAAGAGATAATACATCATTCTGTATCTGATACAATTTCGACCCCAAACAATACTATCAGCCATACTAACACTTCACATTCTTATCATTACATTTCACATGCTTAAAAGTGTCATTGATATTTCATTGCTTGAAAATTATCATTGTTCATGATTCCTGGTTCTTTTGTGAATATTTATAACTTCTTCTGTTAAGTAAATTCTTCTGGTTATTCTAATTTTGTTTTTTTTTAAAAAGAAATTCTATTCCCTGAATTAATAAAGTCTTTTTTCCAAATATATTTGCTAAGAATGAAATGATAGACGATCAAAATTTGTCATGCAGTTTACGTCCTTCGTCAAAATTATTTTATTTTAAAAACTTAGATTATCTAACAACATGGATAAAATAATGTGAAAGTCAAAAAGATTTCGAATTTTAATTTTTCAAATGGTTTGATAATCATGCAGCATGAAAAAAAATTACAGTACCGATGTCTTGTATTGCAAGGAATTTTTTTAAAATTTATTTTCTAAATGTACGACTATTTAGAGTTCCTTTCGTGCTTTTGGAAAATACGAGAACACATACGTACATGTACTTGTGTAGTCTAGTATTTAAGTGTAAATTCTTTTGATGAAATCATCAGTTAATTTTTTTTCTAGGTCATTTTCAATAATCCGCGATATCATTATAACAGTAAACAATGAAAAAGAAAAGATTTTGAAAAGGGGAACAGTGTTTGTCATAAAAAGGAACCAAGCAATTAAGTCTTTATTGCCTTAATTTAGAAGAACACCCAAACATGATAAAAATAGTATACACCCTTTCGTTTCCTAGCCTTCATTCAAAGATAAGGGGACTAGGATATTACGAGACGACAGTTGACTTGATCGAATTATTTTTAATCTACATACATTGTATCGTCCTCTGTTTATAGCTAAAATTGAGATGAAGGCAAAAGGAAATGATTTCTTCTCATATAAAAAAGTTTTTGAATAAGTTTGTTTCATTTTATAAAATGTGGCCTTTTATATTGGTTAATTTTCAAGTTTCCAAATCGATTGTAACGCATTTTTGAAAACACTATTCTATATACTGTATGTTTAATAACCTCTGATGCGTATACACGTAATTAATATATGATGCCACATCTATTTTTTATCAGGTGCAAATTTTAAGCAAATTATCTCCTCGTTTTAAACTCGCGATGTAAGATTTAAGAACATATTTTTAAAAAAAAAAGTCACGCAAAATTTAAAACCAATTTGATATTTTCCTTCACCTTTGAAAAGTTTTATTCGAAACTATCTTTTCCTTTTTTTATTTTTGAAAAAAAGAGTATTTAATGTGTGAATTAAATTCATTTCAATTGATTTAATTTCATTCATTTCTTGTTTTGATTGCTCCACCTTGTAATGCCTTTTATTTAATTAGATTTTGTTTTGATGTTTTTTTCTCTGTATATTTTCTTTTGAAATATTAATTTTTATGTAATAGTACACTTATTATTTTTTAGGGGGTTTATGGAAAATTTTTCCTACGGCAAATGTAAATAAAAAAAGAATACGAACAAATTATCTAAGAGAATTATAAAATTTCACTACAGCAATATGTTTGCTTTGAAAAATACACAGTATGGAGGAAATTGTCTTCACATTGTGTTGTAGTCTCCATGTAATCAGTTGATTATATATTAAGTTTTCTTTTAGGAACTATAAGAATGAATATGGATACTTATGAGTATCCAGCTTTATGGCGACAGAATTTGGAATTGAATGCCATACTTTCTTTCTCATTATCTACATTTTTCTTTATTCAATTACCATATAAAATCTAACCATGATGTAGCACAATTTACAAAATTGGTAAATACACAAGAATCAACACACATTATCGAAGATGCGCTTAAAAAAATAGATTGGTGGTTATTAATTTTATGTAAATGAAGAACCATAACTCTGCCGTGTATCAACTCATTTTAGGATCTTTTTAAAGTATTTTATGTTTTGTTGGAAAAGATTTTCATGTTCCTGATTCCGGACAAAATAGTGCATAACTGGGAAACATGATGGCAAGAAAAGACAAAAACGGAATTAGGGGATAGAAAATTTATTTTTTTTATATTTATTTAGACACACAAACACATACGTACAATAAATTAAATAAAGAACAAATATGAACTGAACACTTTACGATGTAATACACCATATTTATAATAGGCATAGTTAAAATGAATACTCATCTACAAAAATAGTCACATTGCGTCATTAAGTAGAACTGAAATAAGGATTAATCACTTTAAAAAAAAAATGGCAGATTCTTTTAGAAAATATATTCTATATGTCAAAAGGAGAAAAGGTCGACTAAGTAAAATAAAACAAGAAAAAAGTGCCTAACCTTCAATCAATAATCAATAATAAAACATTTGATGCTATAACATAATTATTAAACGATTAAAAGATTTATTTTTTGCACCTCTTAAAATAATTAGTATAGGCATGATTCGTTATAATCAATGAAGCTCTAATTATCTTTTATATTATCTCTGAGATACAGATAGAAAAGGTTAAAACACAGTTTTTTTTTTTAGAAATGTCATTCTCATTGTGTAAAAAAAGTTTCATTTCAAGTAATATGCATACTTTTTTTACTTTTTCAAAAATATATTAATCTGGTTATGTGATATATCAAAATGTTATATTTTACATCATTTTGATAATGGATTAAAAATCTAATTTTTGTGAAGATTTATTGTAAATAAAAATGTTCTGTAATAGAATTATGTCATGTTAATACTTACATATAACACAAATCAGAATAAATCTTTTACTTTAACAGTGAAACATTAAAAAAAAATCAGTGTTCTTACAGATTTTAAGATCTTCACACAAACGGTTTATATGAAAAATAAAATTCATTGAATTTTTCAGCAATCAGCACAGTATAACCGATTGATTTCAAAGAAGGGATTGCAGATGGTTTGTAGCTTAATAATGTTCATAGGAAATATCTGCAAAAAAGAGACAAAAATTGTTTTTGATGGCATTTATACTCGTTCTGCTTCACTATTATTCATCTATCTGTGAATGAATAACTACCTTTGTTTTGTCTTTTAACCAAACACATCTGAAATGAAAAAAAAATAATATTAAAAATGAAATACAAAGCTAAATAAATAAAAAAACACAGGAGAAATCCATTCATTTTATCTATTTGATCAAGAAAACTGCTGACAGATGATAAAAAAGACCCAAGAAAAGATGCATGCAATATGATTGTGGTCAAGATCTAAATATAATTTATTTATCTATTTCTTGCAGTTGTTGCCCTTTTTATATTAGTATCACTCTCTAACTAGGTCGCAGTCCATTTGTTTTTTGGCGTGCACAAGTGTAACAAACCGCTAATTTTCCGTAATCCTTTCAGACGCGTGGCATATATGGCCATTTTATGGTCGCCGCGTGACATATTTCCATTCCATTAATCAATACAGAGAAATTGGTAACTTATTAATATAAGTGATAAACAGCGTAATAAAAAGGACTGAATATAATTTGCCTCTCAATGACATGTCCCCTCTTATTTATATATTTCTTTATCTGAACTTTTGTCCCTCCTTATTGCTGAATGAGTTGCATGGGTCTTTGTCTAGTAAAATATTCAACTATGAAACTGATTTTTTATCTAGACTTTTTAGTATCATGCATTTCAAGCTTACCGGGGTATATCGTATCGACTGGAAAATTAAAAAAAAAACATTGTTAATAAACAATACGTCGTCGATATATCTATATGTCGAGTTGAAGGCCACATCAAATGTTTTTTGCTTTTGTTTTCGTTTTTAAGGCCTTGAACAAAATTTTGCAAGAACCTATTGATATTTGATATATATATATTTTTTTCTTTTCTTGTAATTTGTTAACCAATTTCTCACACTTTTAATTCCTATAATGAATATTTTGATAATATCTGTGTTTTTTTTTCACTAAAACATTATTGAAATTATTTTTTGTCGTTTTTTTTGTTCATTAAAAACATTTAATTGACTTTTCCTGTATTTATCATATCCTTTTTATACTTACATGTATTATCAGGATCTGTGGAAAAGAAAGGTTTTGATGTTATTACATATATTTTTTTCTTTTCTTTTCATTTTCTTCAAAACTCATTTAAGGCTATTTTTAAAACTTAAGACAACTGTTTATATCAGTGATTTCTTTAGAAAAAGTAATTGATGAATGAAGATAATGCTTAATAGAATTTTTAATTCATACAGTTATAAAAAATTTAACATGGAAAATAAATACATGTATATGAATTGTATAAAGGGGAACGTACCATACATAAGCTGATAGCCACTAAGACCTCTGCCTCCTAAACTTGATCCCCCAATAATTGGATCTGAAATACACAAGACACAATGCGATGTTGAAAAGGTACATACAAGTAGTTTTTTTTAAAAGATCAGTTACATACAAAGCAGATTTATATGCTCAAACACTTATCTATATTTGTACTGCGTTAGGGTAATCAATCTTATATGATCATCAGGATAATATGATCTGATATAATTTAATAAATAAACTAATAGATTTATTTTATTGAAATATAATTATTGGAAACTTACAGATATCTGGTGCATCCCCTATATAGAAATAAAACAATATGATTAAAGAAAATCCAATAAAATACTGATATTCATTTAATACGATATGTCTAGGTTGAAATTGTACACACTTAGACATGCCCTTAATAAACTTACCCAAATCGTATGGATTGTCTGAAAAATAGAATGAAAATAAATGAATGGCTTATTATCATTAATTATAAGCTTTGAATTGAATTGAACATTACATATTAAGGATGTAGCAAATCTTGTTTCGTCGGATTTGTCGCTCATCTAAACGTGTTTACCTCATGTATTCAGTTTATCGCTTGATTTTTCATGCATATTGACAAAAATGATTTAGCAAATAAAAAAAAACAACTTACAAGCATCGGGGGCATCACCATCTGAAATTAGTCAAAGATTGTTAATACACTTGAAAAAAAAAGAAGAAATAATGATTTTTTTGGGGGGAAATTTGTGAAAAATTAGTTATTCTGTTGTTTGAGAAACGTACAATTTATAAAATGTTTATATGCTTCATTTGATGTTATTACTATTTAAAGTATACTTACTTAACATTAAATAACCTCTTCCAGATGCTGTGATGAAAAAAATAAAAGAAATATGTATTGTTAACGTTATTATTCATTTAATCTCTCGTTAGTCTCATACTGTGTTGTTTAGCTTCTGATTAGCTTTAGAATTTATAAAAGAATTATTAGGTATTTAAAGTCTTCAAAAATTGAACATTATTAAATAAATCTGGCTCTATGATCGTAAAATGAGAACATATGCACGTCAAAATTTCTAATCAATATAACTTTTGAAAACAATCTGAGAATGAAACGTTTTTTGTCTTTTTTGTTAGACTTTGAATATTATACATAAATGCATGGAAACACACGTTAAATGATTTAAAAGATATTCAAAAGTAAAATTATGACGTATGCATTTATCACGTGACTGTTCTCTGTTTATGGTCTTGAGATCCAGCTTTTAGCTTTATGACTAAAAAGTAATAACATAATAAAATGTAGAAAATGAACGTACATCCAAAACTGTTTCCGAGTCCTAGGGATCTCCCTCCGAGGTTCACGGTGTCTGCATCAGATACTATATTTAGAAACAAGGGACACAACCACAAAATTTAGTAAAGAACGCCATATTTAGTTCTTATTAAGTGCAAAAATGCACCGTTTACCGGTGTTATTAGGAGTTTTGTGCAAAACAGGACAGAAGCATGTGTGCATATTAGTATACTTGGCCACCTTCAGGAATTTTATCTAAACATTCATTTTTGAAAGTAAGTATTGTTAAAGTGTGACAATGTGTAAAAGAAAAATTCCAATTTCGATTTTGATGGAAATGAAATTACTTTCTTTTAACTATAGTTTCAATATAATTCTATTGAAGTAAAAAAAAAAATCAAAAAAAGATATAATAAATCTAAAACATTTAGCCTTTTTAAATAACAATATAAAGTGAAGATTAAGTTATATTTGTTGATTTTCAAGAACAAGATGACACTGACTATTTTTAATTGTTTGTTGTAGATAGGATACTAACTTGATGAAAAAGCTCCAAAGCTGAATTGTGGCCTGGATCGTCTTGAAAATATTCTACTTGCTGGAAACGAAAAAAAAAGGATCAATTAATTTTTAATCTTTACTGCACTGCTGTTTTAATAAATGTCTATTTACCAGGGATTTTATTTTAAAATTATATTAAGAATCATTGAGGACACGATGGGTTTAACGGGTCGCACGGGAATGCTTACACCTCCGTGGTACCCGATCTCATTTTTGAATTGTATTGTATTGTTTCAATGATTTCTGCGCTTTACTATCCATTTTTTTTTTCAATTCATAAAAATTTTGTTGCATATTTCAGATATAAGTGCAAAAGAACTAAAGTAAATACAATCTTTTTTCCCAAACCTTTAAAATCAGTTTTGCGTTGATAGTTAAAGTTAACGGTATAAAAACATGTCATCCAAGGTCTTTACTAGTCGCAGTTAGCATGGATACAGATATGGCTAATTACAAATGACCTATATGAGCACTAAAATTAGCAATTTTTCTGATTGTGTTTTAAAACTGTAGGGGGAATAAACGTTTAATGAGACACGAAATCAATAAACAAATTAAAATACGAAACCTTGTTCTGTGCAAAATCTTCTGAACTTATCACTTGCTTTAGAATAAATTACACGGACAGAAAAATAGCAACGATAAAATTAATACTCACATTGTGACCTTGGCATCACACGCAGAACTGAAAATAGATAAAACAAACATTTAAAAATTATATGCATGAATAGGAATTTAAGAAGGGTATGAAGATATATTTATTTTGCATAATTATTCATTATTAGGGGTATTTATGATGACATATCAAGTGTTCTTTAAATGTAGTAATTTTAAGAATGTTTTTCTTAAATTGTGAAAAAAGTATAGAATATGACAATACCGTCTATTTTGTAAAGTAAAAAAAAACAACTTACGTGAAATATCAAATCATATTTTTTTCAATATTGAGCAAAACATTTTACTGAAAACAGAACAGTTTATAACCTAAGTTGAATTATTTTATTTCGTTTGACAAATTGAACAGTCAAAACGATAAAACACAATAAAAGTAGAACATTTTTTATCGGCTGATATATCAATATGGCCTTTATGGACACTAAGAGAACAATTATAGCATATGCCTTTTTGTATAGGCAAAGCACTAATTTTTTGCCTCATATAGACTCAGAGTTTATGTGTTTCGTGCGCATATATACATTTACATTTTCACACGGAGGTATTTTTTGCTGTTTTTGTAATTTTGAATCAAGATTTCACAAAAAAATATCAGTTGGTCAAACACAGTAAAGATTTACATTACTGTCAAGCTGACTTTGTCAAATCTGTAAAATTCCTTTTAGTGAACAGATGACAAATGAAAAACGCCCACTCTGTGCCGATTAAATCGTTTGAGATTAACTCCATAATACTTGTAAATAATTTTTCCTTACTTTGTACGTTCAAAATTGAGGAAAAATATGTCACTTCTAGTTTTTCAAGAGAGAAGCTGAGAATTCCTGGAAATTTATATTAATACAAAAAAATCCTTGAACCCTAACCTTGTTCTCTTAAAGTGTGACCTGTAGATAAAAGAATTATAAAAGAACCTATTTTTGATTCATTAGTGTTAACCCTATAAGATATTCTCACGTGTGTTTCTTCAGAAGAGCAATAAATTATTTGTAATAGTATAAGTCACCAACAACCGGAACGTACAGGATCCACGTCATCGTTTTTTGCAATTACATGTGTAGACATCATGTTTATAGTCCTTTCTTGACAAGAAACAAACAAAAAATATACAAGAAAATGTGTTTTTGTATGAATCCATCTGCCATTACACGGATGTTCTATCTGATATACTATTTGAACAATATAGAGTTGTAAGTGATATCATAAATATTAAGCTAAACAATGAACTTGCAATTAAAGGAATAGTTAACATGGGACTACTTCAGTTCTAAGAAAGGTCTCAAAATAGCTCTATCCTGTCTTTGAGGAATCCAACTGATATCTAATCGTTTCTGGATTTAAGTCATTTATTGATATAGAATATGAGTCTTGATTAAAGAACACATGGACAAAACCGATTTTGTTTTTATTAAGAGCGTGAAAGTTACATCTAAATTATGAATTAAACCAAAAATGAATGGTCTTAGCTGCATAAATTTTAACAAGGTTTCCCCGGGGCTCTCGATGAGGTCATGCAAAATTATAAAAACTTTCACTGATTTATAACGGTTATAGCAAAGTAGTAAAAGTTTGACCATTATAGAGAGTTTTCGTCTTATATAGAAGAATTGTGTTATTTCATAATTAACAACAAAAATAGGTCAGGAAGATAAGGCAATAAATGCATTTAATTTTCAGTTTCTTCTGTATTTTACAAGTAGCACATTTCCTAATGAAAAAGCTCCTCATCCCCTCAACTACCAAAAAGAAAAAAAAAAGAATATACCTATGTTATCTTTAAGAACAGTTTTTTTCATTATCAAAGCACACAATATTACCTATCACCCCTAACTAAAATCAGCGGAGAGATAATAGATACTTGTTTTCATGGATTCCAAAGCAATTGGTTTTACTTTTCGGTGTATTGATGGATCAGGAACTTCAGACATAAATTGTATCTCAATAAGGAGTTTAAGAGGCACATTATATGTTTTCATTAAATCAGTAAATCTGACTAATATCTTGCCTATGTTATATTACTTTTTGATAAAATCATATCAAGAGTGTCTTTCTTGTCAAAAAGAAAGGCAGAATAAAAAGATATTATGACCAAGTCCAAAATTATTGGAGTCATGGAAGCCTTCAATAATAGTAATAATTTTATGCTTTTACTTATGAATTGCGAGACCTTAATTGAAAATTCAAGTGGATTACAACGCATTTTCAACTCCTACAGATACATTATGTAGAAAATATATACTCACGAACTGATGACGTAAGAGCTGAAAAAAATACAATAAGATAAACTTATTTGTTTTAAAATGAGATAAATTAACTTTATAGAAATATATTACTTAAACAAATGTAGTGCACAGCACATAAAAGGAAATAATAAGATTATCAAGAAGTTTTTGAAATATTTTCGAAATACTTATTTTTTCTTTTATCTTTTAGAAGCCTTCACTATTCATTTAGAAAACAGGAAACAAATAAAAGTAATCTTTGAATATCTCCATTTATACTTTTATTTTTAATCCTAAATAAGTGTTTAGAATGAAATGGAATTGAAAAATCTACTAGAATATAAAACATAAAATTTTAGCAAGTTACCTGCAACACTGCATAGAATCAAAAGACGCACTAAGATTCCCATACTGAATAGGAAGTTTATAAAGGAGTTAACACCAAACACCAAAACCAGGGACTATTAGGCTACATCTTCACCCCTATTTATATATATATACCACACCGGGAAGCAATAACGGTGTCCCAAATGCGCGCGCAACCAACCACATTTAGTTTACATGTGTATGTTTTGCATTAGTGTTGTTTCCTAATATTTTCGTTGTTGTACATGTGCTTATACGTTTTGTAATTCGGGCAATGAAAAGACAAGGAAGTGGAATCTAGTTTAGATTATCTGCTGCAATTTAGCATTGTTCTATATAATGAAAATGAAAGTAGAATATAGACATTGTTTCCGAAACATAATTTTTAACAGATCAATCTGTAGGAACCAAGAAAAAAAAAGTTTAAAACATGTACATAAATGTCCAAGTACAAACTGTCAAACCGAATAAGGATATTTGGAACATGAAGGATAATATTATGAAACAAATATCAATGATGATAGACCTTTTCCTCCCGATATTTGAAAATCTTTGTCCACTTTTTCAAACTAAAGGTATGCATTTAAAAGGATTTTAATATTTTTATACGGGAAAAATTGAAATACACAAACACATAATGATTGCAAAATCATTTTACTTGATAGCAAACCTTAACAGTCATTCAACAGAAATTTCTTATATTTGAAAAAAAAAACTGCCTTAAACTTAAAGATTTACACCCTTCGTCTCTAACATTTACACCAGTGGGCAATACCCAACCCTATTTAAATCAATAATTAACAACCTACAGAGGGAAAGCGGAAACAATATGTTTTGACATGTTGCTACAATGCAATATTTATCACTGAAAAGATGTTCTGGTACGTCTTAATGATTTAGTGCGCCAGGGTTACCGTGATCCTTAACATTAACATATAAAGCATTCCGTCTGCCGCCTTGTTTCGCCTCCTGTTATGTCAGATGGTTAGCACTGGTCATGATATTTGGTCAGTTTGGTCAGTTTGGTAAAGGTGTCCAATGTTAACATCTGTTATTGTACATCTTTTAAATCAACATGGAGACCATACATGTCACTTCTTTTTTCTTGTGTTTTGCATGGTCACGCAGGTCATATATTTACATTTAAATCAAAAATCGTGCATTGTCTATATTTGAAATATTACTTACTGTAAAAGTCAAATTTAAAGTAACTGGGTTTTTTTGCCAAGATATGTACAGATAATTTGTTCAATGCTTAATTCTTATCATTAAAACAAAATACAAGTTTATTAAATTATTTATTGACTATGATCATGTTTTCTTCAAATATTTTATCAATAAACGTTTTTTTCAATAAGAGAAAGTAATGAACCGTCCCACGACAAAACAAATAACATTGTACAGAAACACTATATACACCATTCTGGATAACGTCTTGATAAATTTATAATAATGTTATGAAGTGCATATTGCAATATGTATTTCAGTTTAGTTACTTTTGTCACTTCTGACCTTTTTTATAGCAGTACGACGTTAAAAGACACAACTTGTGTAGATCGAGGACCACTATAATTCTTATCATGTTTCACATAGCGGTGTAAGACTATACAATTCTCAAGAATCATAATTTTTTTGTCGTACCATATCTCCAAGCAAGACCGTCTTGCTGTTTATTTCCCAAGAAACAAATATATTTCCTTTATCAAAGACCAGAGCAAATTCCCCGCTGTCAACATTCCCTCACACAGATGGTGGCATCAGATCCCACCCCCACTGGGCCTAAAGAGAATATAAACTGAAGATAAATAGCTTATAAAAGTGGCGTGATTGAGATATTTTGTCTTTGCAGCGACATGCTTACACACCCCCTCAACGCAATACACCTGCACACATATGAAAGAATGTAGGTTGCTTTGAAGGCCGTAGGTTACATGTATATACACAAAATGGATTTTTTAAAATAGAATAAAATGAATCCCAGAGATTCGGTCTAGTTATTTTTCTTGCAAATTTTAGGCTTATTAATTATTGGATCACTGATATTTTTTAAGATGGAAACATATTTACCGAGATGCTCAAATGTTTGCTCAGTAAATTACTTTATTTTTTAAAATCACTTAAAAATGCTAAAATTTTCAAGTACATGTACATTAATAGTGATGAAGAAAGTAATATATCGCTGTGCATGAAGTAATCATCAATAGATAGTCGAAAATCTATTTAAGGTCTTCATGTAGTTAAGAATTAAGAAAAAGCTTATTAAATAAGAAAGAAGTAGAGAAGGATCCTGAAATATTAGCTATGAAATAAACCATGCACTATATTTAGAAAACAGCTAAAGGATTCGTATTAACATTTTCTTAATTAACCTTAAGGGGGCCGACTGGGGTTTTATTGTGTGAAAACTACAATAGCGAAACTGTTCATTTTTATACCATATATAACTTACATTAACTTCAGCGTACATGCCAAGTTTGTGGAAAATCATCCGTCCAGGTATTCTTAAAGGACCGTCTCAAAATACAAGTACATTTACTATAGGATTATATAGGAAAATGTCACTTTTTAGCACTTTAAAACATATTATACAAATACTACTATAGACTTTTTGTCAAAACTATGATATATGATGAGTAATACTATATTATACATTATATGTAAGAAACCTTCTTGTTACCAGAGGGGACATCTCAAAATGCAAAAAAGTAATGCATTTTCCTGTTTTTTATGGAATGCTACAAAAATTTAACGGACACAAGAGATTTATATGAAAACAGAATAAAAAATATTAGAGATATTCTTAAATTTCCATTTTTTGAATTTCAAGAACGTATATTAATTACTTTTTCTTTAATAACATTTTTATTACCCATTTCTTAATTGCTTCAGTTTAAGATAACGTCAAAAACACACTATAACGACGTCAACCTACCCATCAATTGCAACATCAGTTAAAAAGATCAGTCACATAAAATTGTAATAATTTACATCTTTAAACCTGTTATTTCTTGAGTTTGTTTAGTTTTATTAATCAAGTGAAAAAATTGCTTAAAAACAGTTAGTACGCTTCATTTTTCTATGATGCATAAAATATTGCGCAATGAAAACTAAAGTCGACCCGCCTAAATGGATACAAAACACAGCGTCACATTAACTCCCTTTATATTTTTATCATGTTGTGAAAAAACCAACGAGAGTGTTATGAAAACGAGCCAACGTGTGGAAAGTATATATAGATATATTACGAAACGCTTTTGTCCGTCAAGTGAAAGACTATTATATGTTAATATTTTCGTCTGCTCTAGGTTAACATGCATGTGTTTTGACGCATAAGAAAGAATAGCCTTACAGATGTTATTTAATAACAGATAATAAAAATACACCTGACTATCACTCAGATCTTTTATCAATTAATTTATTTTTATGATGAAAAAAATGTATTTCTATCGCACATGCAAAGAAAGATTAATAAACTGTTTGAATTACATCTAGGATTCTTAACAAAGAGTGAAAATTATCGAGAGAGACGTTAAACAGCATACAAACAAATTAGCAATATTTTCATTATTATCCCTTTTTGGGATAATAATGTAAAACGTCAACAAGGAGGTGGAAGATCAAATAGATTAAAATTGCAAAAAACAAAAAGTAAAATTTAAGAGGAATACCATAACATGTATTAGAAGCAATCTTTTTTTTAAATTTCCAGAGTAGGAAGTTTCGTAGGATTCGTGATAAAAAAAAACAATTTTTTAAAAATGAACTAGAAATCATGAAAACATTACTTTAAAAATATCTAAAGAATTAAACATTTTGCTTTCAAAGATGAAACATGGTAAGGTAAAATAAATTTAAAGAAAAAAAGAAAAGGAAAGAACTATTTTGAAAGGAAGTGCATTATTTCCCATTACTTACAACCATTGCTTGGTCATGATTTTTTAAGCTAAGGTTCGCATTCTGTTCTCTTTTATTATACAATAACAATGCAATACACGTGATCTTACCTTAGGTAAAAATAGTGAATCACACATAAAAGGTAAAGTCACCTGTACCATTGCACCATAAAAGAATATAAAAAGAGAGTAGATCTGTAAGAAATGACTGTCTTCCTTTCAGTTTATCATATCCGGTTTATTCTTATTCCTCACCAATTAGTCGCCTTTATTTCTCATCATAGCCTGACTAATTGACAATAATACTTGTTATAAGCTGGGCTACGACTAATTTGTAATTAAAGTGTGTGAGTAATAAAGAAAAGTGTGTCAAAGAAAAAAAATAACCCTACTAATTTGATTGATCCGCCTATCTAATTGATAATATTATCTTCATTAATATTCTTCTTTATTATCAATTGCTAGTAGATATGTTTCACTAGGTTAAATATATTGGCCAAAAATAATGTTAAGCCAATTTGTATATGCAATTTGAAAATTGTGCATTTAAATATTCTAATTAGTGATGTAATATAATAATTGTGAGGAAAGGCAACTTCAGTGGATACTTTCCTGAATTCATTTTTATATATGAAGCCCCTCTCTTAATGTAAAACATATTCTTGATGTTGTTGTGAAATGTCTTTGTTGAAAATTTCTCTCAAATGTAGAGGTTTTCACTTTCCGATGGAGGGCTCCAAATTTTGAACTATACAGGACACTCAGGGTGACTGAGTAGTGATGTATCTTTTACATGACAGTACCTACTGAGATACGGGATCACGGCTAATACGGTCTTTAAATGTATGTCGTTTGATTCCACGTTGTTTAAGTTTCACCTTGGATTAAATTTCACGTACCAAAAAAAATGTTATTTTTGTATAAGGAATGAAACGTTTTTAACACTGAGGAAAACATTCAGGCATGAGATTAATTTGGCGGGAAAACGTTATATGGCGACCATAGAGAAATTGAAATAATCGTGATTATTTGCCAATCTTCAACATAAATGTTGTACTTAAAAGTGACAAGAAAATCAGTAACACATTTACACATTCTTTACTGAATACATGGAACCTTGATTCAAATTGACAACATGAAAAAATTATCCCTAAAAAAGAATTTTGTTGTTATATTATTTTTCATATGCATATTTCTTTTCTTTGGTAAT